AGCCTCAGGCAGGGGGGAGGGGAGGGGAGGAGAAAGCCTGGGTCGGGGATTGTACGTGGGGGGCAAGGGTTCTGGGTGATAGACACACGTCCGAAGAATTCTCCTTCGGAACATGTTGCACACTAACGTACGGATCGTACTTCCGACATTTTGAGTTTAAAGTGTCGTATTCCTTTATTAAAGATTTGAATGGAAGTACAGGTTTTCTTTTCCCCATGAATGGTGAATCCGCCGCCTGTCTATACGTCAGTTGGCGAGGATTTCATTCTTCAGGTTTCTCCCCCGAAGGCGAGCCACGCTCCACTCGAGGCAAGCTCTAAGTTCTCGACTGATGTCCCGACGTGTGTGGTAGCAGTGCACGTAAGTGCATGTACGTGTGGATTGGAAGAAGATAGTACAAGGATGAGAAAGTAAAAAAAAAAAATAGACCGTCTTCCGCGGCTAGTTTGCTAGGGTTCTGCTCGGGCATTCACCTGGAATTGATTCGAAAAACCACGGACAACTACCGATCAGAGCCGCAGGCCGCTAGAATTCTCCTCCAGACAGCGGCTGAGTTCGACCTGTCTAGCTACTGTCGAAAATCCCATCACAGTCGGGACTGCAACTCTACAACTCTGCTTTGCGATGGGTAGTCGTGAAGCAGTGTGTGTGTGTGTGTGTGTGTGTGTGTGTGTGTGTGTGTGCGTGCGTGTGTGCGTGTGTGTGTGTGGGTAAGTGCGCGTGTAGGCTTCTGCAACAAGGCAGGCTGCTGGAAAGGAGTACATTCGGCAAATTGTGTTACGATTAACGCGGCACATGAAGCAATGGATGACAAGACAGGGCATAAAATTCTGAATTACGTGACCAACGTACCTCATCGTAGTTACAATGCAGGAGTAATTGTTTCAATTACAAATAAACGCAACAGTGAATAATATTGTACAGTGTTCTGATGTAAAGCTCAAAGTGAAGTGATGGATGGGTCGTATGAGCCTAAGAATATAGCATCAGAGTAGAAACCTGGCAATAATGCGGTAAGCGGCGAAGTCACCAATCATCCAACCGCTGTGTGCTATCCCGTCAATCTAAAGCTACTTACTCTTACAGTCTGAGTATTCTTTATCACGAAAGTTTATAAAACCCTCCAGAGAGCCATTGCAGAGCGCAATAAACGGGAAGGCATTCTGATATCCGCATTCGTTGCCGGTGATATTCAAATGAGCTTCTACGAAGATTGGAAGTTTGTAAGACCCTCAGTAATTCTTAGTCAAAGAACATAAATAACTTTACAAAACTGATAGTTGGTAAGATGTAGAAAACAAAATATTAGCTGTGTTAATATATCCGAAAAATATTCAATGACCGGCAAAATCATTTGATTATTACTAATAAGTAAATTAACATCAAGCTGATCCTGTATATTCACGAAAATGGAAGGGAGCTAACGGGTCGTCAGCATCCGGAAGTCGATGATTCAATAGTTTTTAAAAATTAAATTATTTGAACATATTTCTTCTATTCTGTTGACAGTTATTGAGTAATGCGTCTTTAGTTCAATGCACGTTACAAATGAACAATTACAAAAAACGTTGTAGAGTAAATGTGAATCATTAAAATCCGGTAAACGAATCTTGTATAAACCACGAAGCCTTAGCTAGATCTATAATCACACGCGACAAAAATCCCTCGATCATTAGAACCCATATAATGACCTTGGTGCATAGATAACAAATAAGTTCAGTAAAAACGCAAAATTATTAACATGAAAACAACAAATCGGTTGGACATTACACAGAAAAGCTCCACCCGAAGGAATTTCTACTTGCACCTTTGGCATAATTTTATCTACAGAAATTATTCTATGAGTATTAACAGAAACATAGCTCAGCGACTGACGAGAAAGCGCGGTGGGGCTGGCGATATTATTGTTTCACAAACCCGGCAAAGACCGGACTCCCGCTGAGAGGTTATGGTAATGACTCATTTCCGTCGGGTTTTTTTTCAGTTAACTCAACCAATCAAAAGTAGTTGGAGGGCCAGTTACAAAATAATGGATCACAGATAGTTCGCGATCTGTCCTGCCAGATTTTCCTCACATTTCCATCCTGTGAATCAATCACCGAAACCAATGAACTCTTCTCGTTCTGAAATGTCAGAGGCAGCAATAGATGACGTAAGAGACAGTTCCTTCAATGAGCCTTTCGTCAGGGCTGCGACCGCGGCACCGGAGCGCCGACCGCACTTTCTTCTCCTTGTCCTCATCCTCCGCTGCTGGCGCGTCCTGTGCTGGCGCTGTGCGCAGATTTTGCGCCCCTTCTGCAAACCCTCTCCCAGCGACTGATATTGAAAGCTTATTACTAGCCTCGTAATCGCCGGCGCAGAATTACTGTCGGCGAGCGCCTGAAACACGAGCGCAATTAGAGCTGATTATGCGTGCCGCCGCACCGGCTGTGCGCAGAAGTTGCCGCCACCCACGACATCGTCTCTCTAGCCGCTGCCACCACAATCACCGACGGTCGACATCGCCACAGACGCCACCACCACCACAGAAATCACCATCGCCACAGACGCCACCATCGCCACAGACGCCACCATCGCCACAGACGCCACCATCGCCACAGACGTCACCATCGTCAGAAGCGCCACAGATGTCACCATCATCCCAAACGCCATCTCTGCCATCGATATCCTCGACACCGTCGTCACTAAAGACGACACGCCCCCTTTCCCGTCACAATGTCCACTACCACCTTCGACATCGCCCTCAATTTGCTGTCCTAGTTGCAACCGCCCCAGCTATTGCGAATGATCTTTTCAGTGCCGGGTAATGAAGATACGAGAATATTCTCCTGCCTCTAGTGATTATCTTCAATAGCTATACATTAAATTTGATGTAGTTTTACGTTCCTGTTCTCTCATTATGTAAATTAACGTTCAGAAGAGTTTTTGTATCAATTAAATAATTTTATCCTAATATTGCTTAATCTAAAATATGTTCGCCCATTTCCGACCAGTGTGCCTTCCCTTGGGTACCTCTGCTTGGCGAATTGCGCCCTCTGTCATTTCTGTATCTCCAGTCTTCACTTGGTGCAACCACTGAGCACCCCACCAACAAATAGGCAACGATTACAGATTTCTTGTCATTTTTTGTGTATGATATTGCCATAATTTCCATCGTGGCTGCCTCTCTATCGAAACTATCATTCCCAACAGCCTGTCAGAGCAGAACACACGAATGCTATAACCCCATGAGAAGTAAATAGATCCACCCTCCCTAAGAGAGATATTTACATTTATGTTTTATTTATCCCACGAATTTTCACTTCGGAAAACAGACGAGCAGAATTTGACACAAATACACAAATTCAAACAATGCTTTTGTCACAAATAATGATGATATTTAAAATTATAACAAGATGATTTCTTTGCCATGCAACTTTTTTCTTTCCAGCAGAAAACGCATTTCTTCTCTTTAGCCCACAGATTCTTTATTTTCTTCTACGCGCAGCTCAAGGGGAAAAATAAGCTATGCTGATTTGTCAACCGCAGTCGCCGCCATTGCCATTCCCTCTCTTCTCCACGGCCGACGCCACTGCTTTCGTCACCGTCAGAGTCACCGTCATCGTCTTCATCGCAGTCACCGTCGCCGTCGCCTTTATCGTCACCTTCACTGTCACTGTCGCCACCTCCGCCATTACTACTGCTGCCGCCTCCACGTTGGGCAAACAGCGACGAGAGGGCGAGCGTTTATCGCCCCCGCCGCCGGCGCCGCCTTCGCATCGTCCGCCGTCTGCCTGCGCGCAGGTGCGCCGGCCTCTTTCGAATTCGCCGCCGTCGGATACACAGCTTGCCCCGAAGCGCGCCGTCTCCACGTGTTAACACGACGGTGAATCTGTGGGGCAACGTCACTCTCCTGCAGATTCGGCGCATTATAATCTATGTTGAAATGAAATTGTTGTCATTTCTCTCTGTGTGTAGAGATTGGAATGTAGACAACGTCCAAAATAAGCGGGCGAGGGAAGCACGGCGCACAAAAGAAGCGCGGGGAAGGCGCGGGAGGGCGAAATGTGTGGGTGGAGCGGACGTGGGTGAGTTCATGTTGGGTGAGGTCGGGACGAGCCGGGGCGAGTCGGGTCGGGTCGGGTCGGGTCGGGTCGGGTCGGGTCGCGTCG